AAAATGAAGATGGGAGGCGCCTGGTTCAAATTCACTAAGAATTACAAGATGATGGCAGCAGAGCCTGAAAACAAGTTGCGGGGACTCTCCGAGTGCAGGGTCTGTGTGGGGGCGGGGTCACAGCCAAGGGACCCCAACCCTGGTGCAGACTCAGATGCTGCTCCTGTTTGGCTAGGAATGGGCAGGGTGAATTGGGGGGCGGGCCAGACCTGCGCCCTGTTAGGACTTGGCGTTGAGGGGGAAGTCTTCCCTTGGCCACCTCCTGCCACGTGGGCAAAGGATGCCCCAGGAAGGAATGAGCATCCCCGGCTTTGAGGTGGCCACTGTCCAGGCCGGTGGGAATCGGAAACATCTGCCAGGGTTTCTGCGTCAGTCTCCCCGCAGCCAGATTGCTGTGAGCTGTGGTCCGAGGAGGGAGAGGGTGGTTCCTCTTCTCCCCATCATGGGCTCGCTTTCTGGAGCCTGCAGAGAAATGCAGAGGGGCCCTAGCAGGGCCATGATGGGAGCCCCCAACTCCAGCTTAACTTTCCCTCCCTGCCACAGGCTGGAAGTTGGAGGGTAAACCCAGACGGAAAGGGGAGAAGGGAGCATCAAGTTGCAACTTGGCTCCCAAGACAGCAAGATGAGGCCCTTTTGCCTGCAGCATTCCTGGAAACTTCACCTCTGGTCCCACAAGCCATGCATTCCCTGCCATCCTAGCCGCTCCGCGCGGAGGCTCTGATTACTGGACCGGCTAATGCCAGTGGCTGGGATAGCAGAGGTGCCAGGCCAGACGGCAGACGGCTGGGATGCTGGGGGAGGAGACTGAGGAGAACCCGGGTCTTAACTTCCTGGGCTCTTAGTGACTCCATCTGGAGAATGGGATGGGGCACACGTGAGAATCCGATGGAGTAAAGCGTGTCAGTGCTCAAAAGTGCCATTTACTATTGTAATTATCATCAGCGATGTTCCCTCCCCTGGGACAAAGCTCTGTTTCTCAATCCTGCTCCACGGACCACACCCCACCAACACCTACTGCACCAACGGGCTCAATCAACATTCAGTAAATGTCTATATTTTTAAAACACTGAATTAATACACATCTCAGTAAAATCACCACTGAAAAGACAAGGATACCAATAAAGCAAAATCAAATCATTCTGAGCAACTACACTGCTTTTTACAAAAGACAGTTGAAGCAAAAGTTTAAAATGACCATGAAAGCTGGTTTTCTTCTCTTTTGAACAGCTGGATCTCAACTAAAAATTGTAAAACCCCAAACTCCCAACACTTGGGTATATTTTACCACTGGAATTCAGCTTTTATTCAATTTCGCTTTTTAAAAAATACATTCCCTTTGGTTACGATGAAGTTTGCTTGGCTTTATGTAACCGAAAGTACACAGAGGCCAGCGGGTTTTCCTGGAGAGGGCCCAGGACTCCCGGCCTGGACACTGGCTCTCATTCATTCTAGACTGGACTGCCGCTGAACCAGCCCCAGGAGACGCGCATTGACTGTGACCTTAAATCTACAGGCTTTCCCAATCAGTGGCCCAGGGGTCTGTGTCCTCAGACATCTCTTTTTCCACATGGTCCTTGGTCCTCAGCAGTAACAGTGATAAAACAGCACAAGAGGAATGGGAAAGCTCTCAGGACAAGGATTCGGAAAACCGGAGAATGCCATAGAACTTTGAATCGTGGGGTAATTTAATCTTTCCTTTGTGTGAATTTTTCACCCAGAGAGATTCTTCGGAGGAGGAAGAGGGGCAGGGTTCAGCTCGCTTCATACCTGTCATGCTCCTCCTGCAGGGCTCCATCTTCCAGGACAAAGAAAGGAATTTGCATTTTTTGAATGGTCTTGCAGTTGAGTTCACACAATTCAGTTTGCAGGGTGGGGCAGAGCAGATCACCTGTCTTTGGAAGATGCAGAAACTGAAGCTTGGAATCTGCAGGTTCTCACTTCAGGCTAACTGAGTTGCCTGTGGTCACACAGTTGGTTTGCGAAAACAAATTGACGCTATCGTGCCCTTCACCTGCTGGTCCCATGCGCAGTGGTTCTCAGTTGAGGGAGATTCTGTCCTCTGGGGACACCTGCCAATGTCTGGAGGAGGTTATGACGGTCCCAGTTCAAGGAAGAGGGATATACCCATTCAGTGGCCCAGGGGTCTGTGGCCTCAAGTGCGTAGAGGACAGGAATGCTGCTAAACTTCCAACAGTGCACCCCAAGTCCCCTGGAGTCTCCCAGAGTCCCCCGGAGTCCCCGGCCCCAACCCAGAGTCCTCACAGGTGTAACAGTGCCAAGGGTTGGAAACTTTGCGCCGGAACAATTGAGGAAGTGATGGGGTGGGAGCAGCTCTAACTCCTGTGTGTGTGCGTGTCTCCGAGAGAAATACTAGATCACAGGACCCAAGGGATCATCAGAGGGACACAAGGCTCTTGCTACTCAAAATATTGTTCCTGGACCAGCATCAGAAATGCAGGGTCCCGGGCCTCACCCTAGACTTACTGAGTCCAAAGCTGCCTTTTAACAGGATTCCCAAGTGATGCGTGTGCCCATTAAAGTTGAGAAGGACAAGGTCAGGTTCATCCCAGGCTGGACAGCCCCCAAAGCCACCTGGAGAGATGCACGTTTAACTTGACCTTACATCTCCCCAAGGGCGTCTCGGAATCCCCATGGCCCGGGTCAGGGTTTCAGGACCTGCCCCGAAGCGGACCCGAGCCCCCGCCTTTGATTCTGTCCGGAGTCCTCGTGCACGGACTCACAGATCTGAGTACGGTCCCCCCACCCCCGTGTTCCTCCGCAGGCCTACATCCTGTTGGGACAGTTCCTTCTGATGCACAAGAACGAAGCCGAGTTTCAGAAGTGGCTCATTTGCTGCTGCGGCGCCACCGAGTACGAGGCCCAGGAGAGCTCGAACTGCCTGAAGGAGTGGTGCTCCTGCTTCCTGTAGACCGTGCTCCCGGGGCGCCCATACATGCCGCCTGCGCACCCAGACTGGCTCCGAGTCGTTCTTTTTGTTTTTCGCTTTAATGATACCCAGTCTTTTAAAAAAGCAGCTCAAGAATATCAAGGCCAAACACAAGAAAAACGGCCCCCAGATTCCACCACCCAGAAACAGCTGTACTTTTCACGAATGTCACGCCAGCCGTCTCTTAGCATACATTTACATAAACGGGTGGGTTATTTTATTTAAAAATGGTAATTCACACAAACTACTGTATGCAGAACAGATAAGCAGCAAGGTCCTACTGGAGAGCCCAGGGAACTCTATTCAGTAGCTTGTAATGGCCTATAGTGAAAAAGAATGTGCATAGATATACATAGAGAGAGAATGTATACACACATAACTGAATCACTGTGCTGTACACCAGAAACTAACACAACACTGTAAATCAACCATACTTCAATAAAAATTAATTACCTAATTAAAATGGGAAATACATTTTAAGTCAGTATGTAAGTTATCTATTGCTGCAAATGAACCCAAAACGTACCCGCTTAACACAAAACAATAATTTTATCTCACTCAGTCTCTGAGGGTCAGGAACTGAGAGCCACTTAGCTGGGTGGATCTGTCTCGGGGTCTCCTGGGAGGTCACAAACTGTGGGCCAGGTTGGCTGGGGCTGGAGGACTTACTTCCAAGCTGGCTCAGTCACGTGGCTGGTGGCCTGAGGCCTCAGCAGCTGTCTGCCTGGGCCTCCTGCAGGGAGGGCTGTCCCGGTGTGGCATCTAGCTTCCCCCAGAGTGGCAGGTCGGGGGGCCAAGAGGGAGTGAGAGGACACAAAGCCACCCCCTTTCATGACCTGGTCTCTGACTCACACAACATCACTTTGCCTTGTCCTGTTTTTAGAACCAAGTCCTCAGGGGAGGAGCATTAAACTGTCTCAAAATAGCAAATAGTATTTAACATGTTTAAGTGCATCACAGGTGAAGTCATATACGGTAAATCTGGCCTTTTGAGGTGTGTGGTTCTGTGACTTTTGGCAAATACGTTGTCCTGTAACCACCGTCACCACCAAGATAAAGGGCACTTACATCCCCCAAGGAGCTCGCTGGTGCCTCCCTGTAATCATCCGCTCACCCCTCCCCAGCCCTTGGCAACCAGTGATCTGTTTTCTGTCCTTAGAGTTTTGGCTTTTGCAGAAAGCCGTATAAATGGAGTCACACAGTATGTAGCTCTCTGAGACTGGCTCTTTCACTGAGCGTAATTCAGTTGGGATGAATCCATTACACACTTAATGCGTTTGCTAGTGCCCGGCCCGTATCCTTTTGGCACTCACTGTTCTAGGAGAGCCCAGTAGCTTCCCTGCGAGCACCTGAATTCCCTTGGCCGGAGGGGTCTCTGGCTGCAGGAGTGGGGTCAGCCTGTAGCACAGGGCAGGGAGGATGTGCCAGGGAGTTCCCGCCCGGGGAAGCCCTCGGTCATGGACAGAAGTTGATGGCTAAATGCCCCAGGGCCTCTCCCTTTGGGTGGGGCAGCTCTGAGGCGGTTTCCCCTGGCTCCCCAGTGGGGCTGAGCCTAGTTACCCCATAGAGAGAGGTCCCGGCTCTTTAACACCCTGGCATTGTAGCCTTCCCCGCCCAGTCTCGCCTTCCCACTCCCCTACCAGGATTTCCTGGGACCACTCACACACACAATGAAATACTCAAATTTTCGTCTTAGTTCTCTTCTAGAAGAACCCAACCTAAGACAACAGTATTAAGATTTAATTTTATTTTATCAGAAGAAAAAAAAGTGGAACTGAACAGAAAGAATCACTGAGCTTCACTGAATTTCCTTCTTCATCATCATAGATCTAGTCAGTTCTGAGTCAATTACTTCTGAGTCTGAAGAATGACACTGGGGAAACAGTAAGAGAGAGACTAGTATCATTAGGTTTGTTTTAAACTCTGTTTTTCAATATTACATGTTACAAACGCCTATAAAAAAAGAAATTAAAGTAAAAAGAAATGAATATTCTTACTTCTCTCCTCTCATTTTTAATTGGTTTTATTGTTAGTTTTAATTTGTCAAGGTTTCTACAGCATATACATTCTTCCCATAAGCATAACCCCTCAGTTATTTAGTACTAGTTGTATATTCAAGAGCTTATCTTCAATCTTTGTTAGCATCATTATTTTAAAAGTCATAGCTTTGTCATTCCTGAGTTCTCTTTGTTGGTTGAGGCATAGGCCAGCGTATGCTGCTGTAACAACCCACCCCCAGATTTCAGGGATGTCGCCAACAAAGGTTGATGTCTCTCTCAGGCTACATGTCCAGTCCGTGTCATCAGGAGAAGTCTGTCATAGTCACTACGAGACTTAGGTAGATGGAGATTCCCTTTCAATACATGCTGCC